CATCTTTTTTTTATATGTACTGTTTTTAGAAGACTATATATCTGTCGTCATATTAGTTGTTTCAATATTTCAACCCTATAATATTGGAAATATTGGAACAACTATTATGACGACAATTATTGTCTTGTAAAAAATACTTAAATATGGTTCGGTTTACTAATTTAGATACCAAATTGCATTAGTAGCTGGTAATGTACAGCTGGTTAGACAATGCTTATTGATATTTTTTCAGTATTATATATGATTTATATAATGATAAAGTGCGGGTTAATTTAATAGCTGACTTTGTTAATTTAATTAAGCTGACATTTTCCTAGATGATTTTATAAAACACTTTAAGAAAACAATTTGATCATTAAAAGCACAGTATCATGTTCTTACTTGACAGAAGCTGAAACCGGATTTTACATTTTTTTAAAGTTTAAAAACTTTAAGATTTAAAACCTATGGTTGTATAAAGTAGGCAAACTCTATGCATAAATGGTATATGCTAATAATCTAGAGATTGATTATATTGATGAATTTCAGAAATTTTATTGATAATTAAATCAAAAGTTCAATCAGTATGATACAACTTTTTAAATTATGTAATACTGAGAGATAAAGAAACAAAATTTATCAATGATTTTGTTGTTGTTGTTAAAAGTATAATCAATAGATTTTATATAAACTTATTTCCCTCCCATGGGATACAAAGCTCCACAATCTAGCGATCCTGGCCTTTGAGCCAATGTACAGATTCAAACATGTTTACTTTAAATTTTGAGATTTTACTAGTTTATATTATAATACATTAAAATTATACTATCAAATATTTTTTTAACTGAACTATTAATGTTATACAAATGATGAGTTTAATTTTTGTGCATGTCTTTTTTCAATCTCTTTTAAACCTGTCCTATATACAAAAAATGTTGAATTAACAAAAACTTTTGATCTTGTTTGTTTTTAATGTTTTAAAATTAAACCTGGATAATTGATTTTGTAGTTATAAAGGCTGCTCAAGTAATGTGACACTTTTTTTGCTCTTTTTTGATATCTCTCTCCCCAAAACGGTTTTGTGATATTTTTGTAATCCCCCCCCCCCCCCCATCACCCCAGCCTCCTATTTCTTATGTGACGTGACATTTGTAAACAAAATATACGAGTTTTTGCTAAAAGTTTACTAATTAATAAGGAATTAAATTGAATTAAAATTCAATACCATTTTTTATCACAGAATTAGATCACACAAAAAAATAGCTATTTGTATAGCCCTAGACGTTACACATTATGAAGGCCTTAACAATGAGTACGTTAAGAGCGGATACAAAGGATTAAGAAGTTAAACTTCCAAAGTACCTAAAGAAACGTTGGATGTCATAAAATTAACATGCAATAGGAAACGGGAGTGCGAAAACAGTGGTTTTGCTACGTATATATATTATGGATACCCATAAGAAGAAGTTGTATTAGTGGCGGATTTAGTATAGTACTCCTTAGTGAATTGGCGAACAAGTAAGAAATGTATAATCCTATACCTCCCTAAAAATACCAACGTTTTTAACCTACCAACCCACCATTTTATAATTTTTTTTTAAATTTAGTGTCTCTAAACTTTTATAATTGACCTACTGCCCTGCCTTCTATCTCATATTTTTACATTTGCATACCCCTCTTCCTCTCCGAGCGTTCGTGTTTTATGAACGATCCCTTAACTACTTTCTAAGTGCTACGAAATAAAAAATTTAAAATGTTCAAAATAAGAAAGTTTTCAATTAAATAAGATTTCAAAGTTCTTTCCCCAGGGTTTTTAATAACTGGTGTAATTTTTATATATTTTGCAGTATTTTGCTTCTCTGTTTTTTTTATTTTTTTGTATAATATTTTAATCTCTTTCATATAAATTTTTACATTATTTAGAATTTCTTTTTTAAAAATTCATAGTTGCAATATATTCTTTTTCTCAAGGTTGGTTTTAAGCTTTCAAAATTATTCAACAGCAGTTCTCGGTGACAAGACCTGTATGGTCTTCTTTAAGTATCCGCGTTCTTTATCTTTATTCTTTATTTTTTAGCGGTTTCTTTGCATGTAATTTTTCTTATTGATTTTTTTTGTAAATATTGTATTAAATATTGTAATGAAGAACATAAAAAAAAAAAAAAAAAAAAAAGTTTTCTGTTTATAGGGTTAGTTTTTGATTGTGTGATTTAAGAAGACTTTTTTCTTTAAACTCGTAATAAATGAATTCGCCTCCTTGTTTGTAGTATCCAAACCTGTCTTTATCCAAATCCCTATTTTTTTATAAATCGAATAACACGATCTTCTAACATGTGTAACTTTGATAAAAATGAACCATATAACCAATTAGCACAATAAAACTATTAAATCAGCAATTTACTTTTCTAAAGATACATAAGATACAAACTTTATGCCTATTTTTGGAGAGATACTGTTTGTAAAATGTTGGGCTCATTGTGGGTTATTATTACTATTACTTTTCGTTTTATTATATGTAATAAAAATATTATTTTATGTATTAGTAATATTATTTTATGTAATAAAAATATTATTTTATGTAATAGTAATATTATAACATTGTTTTACTATTATTCATATATTATTTCTTATTGTTGTTTAATATTCAGTTTTAATAATTATCAAAATTACTATTACTATTATTATTGTTATTATTATAAAATGGATTTTTTTTTTGGTAACTCACCTCCCCAAGGCCACGAAAGCCACAACAGATGAGGAGGCTACTTGTAGTTATTACCCTCTCTCTGATATTAATATAATATTATATTTATTAATATAAATAGTTTTGTCAACATTGCTGATATTGTTATTGGCCTCGTTATAATTGTTTTCATATTATTATAAAATTTAATTTTACTTTAGATTATTACTATTACTATTACTAGAAATAGTACTAGTACTAATTCTAAATATCGATGAAATGTAATAACCTTTTTTCATAATATATATTGTTATTATATATATATATATATATATATATATATATATATATATATATATATATATATATATATATATATATATATATATATATATTTGCATGCATGTATATGCTGCATACATACACACACACATGATATATCATATATCATGTGTGTGTGTGTATGTATGTAAGAAATTTATTTATAACTTTGTTCTGGTGCATTTTAAATGATCTTGTTAAAAAATGAAGATGAAAAAATAAAATTATTTATTTATATTATATTAGCTAATAGAAAAGCAAATTTTTTACTTACTTTACATTGCATCTATTTGAAAACTTGCGATTGCTAAAAGAAAAAACATACACACATATATTATATGTGTGTATGTTTTGTTTTAGCAATGGAAAGTTTCCAAATACATGCAATGTAAAGTAAAAAAAGAAAAAAAATTACTTTTCTATTAGCTTATAAAATATTAATAAATGTTATTTTTTCATCTTTATTTTTATAATATGATCGTGTAAAATGCATCAAAAAATGCAACTAAATGGTTGTCATCTAAAATTAACTCCGTAGTTAAGAAACACAGCCATTTTAAAAGCTCTAAAAGTTTTACTTAAAACTTGCGCATGCGTACCTAAACATAACGCTTTTTCCAAATATCTAAACGACCGTGTATAATAAAGGAAATATTTACTCGATTTAATTGAGGTAATATTAAATTACAAGGAAATAATTCTTGAATAGTTCTTTCCTTACCAGGAAACAGTTGTTTAAACTATTTACTTGTAAGGAAATTACATTATTGATAATTGTCACACTTATTAAACTAATAATACTTGTCACACGGGTTGTTTTATTTCAAAACAACCTTTCAATCTAATTAGCTATTCAGTTAGAGTAATTTTCCTCCGACTGGCCCTTCAAACTTTGGATTGGTCAGATATCTTAGTTAACTTATCTAAATTTTTGAGGTCAATTATTTTTTTCGATATAAAAAATATTTGGTTTTTTCAAATTTTCAGTTGTTGTGTTTTCAAGTAAATAAATATTTTTATTTTCTATGTAGGTATCCCTAGAAATCCTTCTTAACCATTTTTTCAGAATTTTTTTGCTTTCTGGCAGTAGTTTATACCTTAGGAAATGTTGGTATATACACGCTATGCATTCATGTTCGTCAAGGGAGCCATGGCCTGTCCACTCTTTTTTTTGCGAGGACCTTTTGTTTTAGAAATATAGGCAATTATTTTAGAAATTGAGGGATTGACCCCCTCCACTTTGAAGGCCGTGTCGACACTATTAGCATAAGACTATTTAAATCACGTTTTAAGTAGAAAATCACTATTTTGGTCTATAAAATGAAAACTGTACATGTACCGATAAAATAATTACAACAAAAAAGTGTTGGTATTACATTGTAAAACACTCACGTAACCGTTATTTTAAAAATTGTGACCGAATTTCAAAGTAATCGGTAACGCTTTGAGGTATAAGTAGCAAAAAACTGACAAAACTTTAACTAAAACTGCAATAAATCCTACACCAGTCATTCAATCAGGCTGAAATTTTGTCCTGAGTTTGGTGTGACTATTGGCTACTTTTGCACCAATTTTTATCAAATTATATTGAGTGGTTTATATTCTACAAGTGTTTTTATTGGCGCAGTATGAAGTCAAAATTTGACTTAATTTAAACATTCAAATCAAATTATTTTCCGCAGACAAAATTAAATGATTTCAAAATTTGCATCACAGGGTACCTTGATGTGTACGCTAGCTTTCCGTATAATTGGCGTTCTCGGGACAGCTAGGTAGGCATTATAAGGATCCGTGCTAACCCTTTTTTTTTAGCTCCTCGATAATTTAGTAGCTAAAGGGTTATTAGCAAATTTGGGGAATCTCGATGCGAGAAAAAAAAAACTTATATAACTTTTAAACTTTATCATGCCTCGCTTATCATTACATATCTTTATCATGTTATGCATATCTTAACAGAGATCATTATATTGCCATATTTTTTCATTTAATAAAAAAAAAAAAAAAAAAAAAAAACAACTTAAAAAACATACACTTTTCATGTTTTCTAGAAAATCAAGAAAATTTATTTGGATTGTATAAACGTAGTTGTGAATAGATTCTGTAATTGATCATTTATTAGAAAAATTGGTTCATTAGTCTTACAACAGCTTAACATTTTAAATTCTCATTATTGATTTAGCTACAAATAAAGTTTCTTTTTTATTATTGACATTCTATTGACGAGTATATTTTCCCCATATGTGAAGCATAAACACTGATGCAATAAAAAGCAGACTCATTACAAGAACTGGAACAGGACCGCTAAAAAATAAAACAGAAACTATTAGACATTATAACACAATACTATAGAAACATTATAACACAATACTTAAATAAAGAACTTGAATTAAAAAAAAAAAACTATTAGACTCTATATATAATATATAGAATATATTATATGAAATAAAGAACCTGAATTTAAAGAAAAAAATTTACACGGGCGCTGTTAAATTTCTCTTTCAAGTTTTATTTACAATTTATGTACATAAACAAAAATTCTCAAGGGTGTAATTATGTACAGAAATTGGTTATGACTAGCAGTAATAATTAACAATCATAACAAGTATAACAATAAACCATTATTAAATCTCCTCCACGACTAAAGTTCTTATTAACAGTCATTTAAATGTCGGGTTTCTCTGGTTGACCGTCCGATCAATGATAATAAATTATTAACGACTTTTCCGTCGTCAGTTTCCAAACAGTCATTCTTTTCACTGATAATAATTTAACTTATAGCATTTGTAGAATTTGAGACAGAAGCCATTCTCACACCTCTCACATGTCTCGGTACACAGTCAATTTCGATACTTGTGTTTATGAGTATGTTAGTTACTTATTGGTTATTATTACAAATGTACTTATTTTTTTGTGAAGTAGGTGCAGACTTTTCTACCCATTGTAGGTGTTGCATTGAACCAAAATACAGCTAGTAACGGATATATTTGGCCCTTGCGGCTGTTCATTTTAATGGACAGTGGTTATGCTCTACAATCAAATTTCCTGATGGCCTAAACGGACATCTAAACATCTTTTTACACACCATTTCTCACATATGTTTGAAAACTTATTTGATCTAAACATTGTTCTATTGTCCATCAATAGTTCGAATGGTGGGCCATGCCTCCTAAATACAGAATCCAATTGATTTACTACACTTTTATTACCTTCGTGAGGCATTATTCTCCAAACTACTAACCGTTTACAGTTAATCTTTGTTAAATATTGTGAACTCTTTTAGTGAGTCACATCACAAGCAATACCATACCATGTCTCTGATACCATAATCCAATATTATTGTTGCTGGATCAATTGAATTACATTGATGAAATTTGCACTCATTCTTCAACGTCTTTTCTATGTTCAGGATTCTTTGTTGCACTGTAAACATTGTTCGATTAACGCCAAATGATGCTTTGAGTGACATTTACAAATTTTTTATGCAATATTTACTTAATATAGTTCTTTAATTTTTCTTTGTGAAAGTTCATTTAACTAGGTCTTTGGAACTCTTGTCAACACACTTATCTTTACTAACATTTTCATATTAGCAAAACGCTTTTAAATAAAGTAGCTAATGATTTTAATCATTGAAGTATCATTGAAAGTTGTATAAATTTTTAATTATATTATTTATATATAAAAGATTTTTTTATAATTGAATTAAAAAAATTTTAAACTTTAAAAAAAATTATTTTTAATTTTATAAGAAACGACTTGAAGAAACAGTGATGATCTCTTTAATAAACTTTATATAAAGTTAATTCACTCAAAAAGTAGAAAGATTTTGTTGAGAAGAAAAAAAAAAAGACAAACTTTTTTGATAGCCGTTTGAATTAAATTAAATAACTTAGATTTTTAAATGTTTTTATATTATTGAAATGCATTTAAATAATGTAACAAATCACTGCTAATAATTTTTTATAAAAATATTAATGAATATCATATATATTTATTTATATAAGTATTATAGCTTGATCTCCAATTAGATCATCCCAAATATGCTCTTGGCTATGTTTTATAAAACTAAAGGTATTTCTGAGCCAATTTGTAACAGGATAGTGTCCTAATATTTGTCCAAATATTGAAAAAAGTTGTGTTATTTATAACTTAAAACTAAGACATATAAGATCATTTCTTTGTAGACTACCCTCTGATGCTTCCACAAAATCAGATCAATGTGTATTTACATATTTAAGATCTGAGATCAAGCGTTTTTTTACCATTCACAATCTATGCATCAAATAAATTTAAAAATACTTTAGAACTATTGCTTTTTACTATTGCATCAACTACTTTTATTTATATTAATTTAGCTTTTAAACTTAATGTTAAATACAATAATAAAGATTTAGAGAAAAATTATTTAAATTATTGAGTTGATAATAATTATAATTTCTCAAAACCTTAGACATTTTATATGTATAAGAATGGAAAAAATACAAATAAAAACAAACTTATCCATCCAGTTGGAATCACATGGCTATACACAAAATCAAAAGTAATCATATTGAATTATGGGAAAACAAACTTTCCTTATATGTGAAGACAAGAAAACATAATTTAACAATAACTTTATGTCCTACAATTACTTTGAAAGTTAATCAAAAGAAACAACGGAAAAATGTTAAACATTAGAAAATTTAGGAGACCATTGCTTGTTAAATACACTACTATCAACAGCATGATTTATCATATTCAACCACTTTCTTCTAAGTACTTCATCTTTAGTAAGACTTAAATTCTCGATTTAATTTATGTTGTTAGTGCTACTGCGCAAAAACTTTTTAGCATTTTTATAAAAAACTAACTCAGCAAACCGCTGCTGATTTTTTAGTTTGTTTTTCCCCAATTCAAGATGGTTAATTTTAAAACAATGCTTTTTAATACGGAGTGATGTCACGTTGACTGTATGTATAGATGCTTAAGTTAGTAGTTAATTTTTTTTAGTTAAAAAAAAAAAAAAAGAATGTAAATTTTGTTTACACTTTTATTCCTGGAGAATCTTCAGTATAAAATCTCCACATATTCTGTGGGCCACCTGCACTAGTTGATCTCCTCACTGCAGTTGAAGATGTTGCTTTTCTGTTTCTGACTGCACTTCCGCTATTTCCTGATTTGAGACTTGCAGATTTTCCAGAAGGAGAGCGACTTCCCCCTCCAACAGTTGTTGACGATGCAGCTTGAACCTTTAAATGTAAAGCATTAGATAGTAATGTTAACATAAAACAAAATATTGATGGATGATGATGGGTGACAATGATCCTGATAATGAAGTTGCTGTTGTTGTTGTTGCTGTTGATGGTGATGGTGATGGTGATGATGATGATGATGATGATGATGATGATGATGATGATGATGATGATGATGATGATGATGATGATGATGATGTGATGATGAAGACCAGGATAATCCTTTTCGTCAATAAACCAACATTGTATATTTTAACATTAAAATTATTCAATTCAGTTTGATTTATTTTTTTGAAGAAATAAAACACAATATAAACAAGCCAATAACTTTCATGGTTTGATTAGAACTCATCTCTCTTAAAACTAAATTTAATTATAGCAACTCGAAAAAATCTAATAATTATAGTAAGTAACTTTACCATCTCTTCTAATCTTCAGACTTAAAGTCAACGTCAGAGAAAATTTATAAGTTTTGAACAATATTTTGTACAACTACTAACAAACGGTCGCAGAAGAGAGATAAATTGTTTAATATGAAAAATTGTTTAAGGAAGTAAGACCAGGCTATAAATCGATCACGTATACTTAAACCTGATATTTTATGGAACAGAGGAATGAAACGTGTAGGTTAAAGGTTAGATGCTGTAAGTGCGGAAAAGTTAAAATAGCGGGTTTTAACATGTTTAAAATAGCAGGGTTTTAACATGTTTAAAATAGCAGGGTTTTAACAAGTTTAAAATAACAAGTGTTGTTACGAGTTTAAATAATTCGACGGTTGACTAAATTGACTAATATATTTTCTACAGTCGAGTAAATTCGACTTATACATTTTAAATATCGATTCAGTCGAAATATGGGAATAAACTTTTTTTTTTTGAAATAGGTTTTAATAAAAATATTATTGTAATTTTTATTTGCTTTTGATTTTGTTAACATCATATTATTTAATTTTTAATTATAACAATATCAGAGCAGGGCAACTCCGATGACGGGACAATTTATTCCAAAGATCAAATAGTTTTTTACTGCCTTTTTTTTTTTAAATTAAAGTTTTACAATAATTTGTTTAAGCATAAATTGCCTGTCAACCTAGTTATATAATACTTGAAAATTACAGAGTTTGTATAACTAATAAAAAATAAAATTTGGATTAGTCATAGAGAAGCTATTCGTTTTTTAGATGATTTTCTAGAAGCAGTTTAAACGTTTTTAGAGATACAAAGTCATTACGAAGACGGTTCCAATTATTTACTATTCTTAGAGAAAAAAAGTTCATACGCAGATTTAATCGTGAAGAATTTTTTTTTTGTTTACATACATGACTACGAGTAATAAATTGGTTATCTATTTCAAATAGACTTTTATCATCATTTTTATTTTTGCACCAATTATAGACGTTAATTAGATCTGCACGAAGGTGCCTATATTTTAAAGTTGTCGTATTTAACGCCAAACAATTTTTGCTCATACGGTAGATCATATAATCCTTTGATTTGTTTCAAAGCTCTTTTTACACATTTTTTATTTGCCGTTTGTCTTTAGAAGTCCAGAGTAACAAATTGATTCACAGTATTCTAGGTAAGGGCGGACTAGGGCTGAAAATAGTTTTTTGAAGGATAATAAATCTGTATATGATGTAAATGCTCTTTTTATTGTTCCTATTATTTGTCTTGCTTACTCTTATATTTTATTCTGGATCATGCATGTTATAAGTATGAAATTTGTTGTTATGTCTTAAGTGCATTACAGAACATTTATCAATGCTTAGCTTCATTCCCTATTTTTGAGACCATGTAACAAGAGCGTTGATGTCATTTTGTAATTCTTGCGCAGATTGAGTATTTTCAATAGAACGGAAGATTTTGGTGTCGTCAGCAAAAAGAGCAGCTTTTGACTAGATTACCTCAAGGATATTTTTGACATATATAATAAAAAGTAACGCTGAACGGACAGAGCCTTAGGGAACTCCACTTTTAACGGGTACCCAGTTTGAGTAATTACCATTAACAACATCTCTTTGTCTACGGTATTTCAGAAAGTTTTTAATCCAATATAGTATTGATCCATTTATACCATAAGCTATAAACTTAGAAATAAGAAATTTTTGTAGAACTTTGTCAACGGCTTTTTCAAAATCAAAATATATGTTGTCGATGGGAAAATATATTATTAAGTAATGATTTCCAATATTTAATAATAAATATAAATAATAATATAAAATAACAAAATAATAACAGAAACATTAATAATAATAATAATAATAATAATAATAATAATAGTAAAATAAGATTTACAATTTAATAAATCTCAAAGAAAGAAAAAAAATGTATTTATATTATATATTATTTTAAAACATCAAGAAATACAGTTTCTCCCAATACAAATGATTTTATTATAGAAACTTTCGCTGGGTTATGGATACCAGCATCATCAGCTTGTAAAATATTATTATATTATATTATATAAATTTTATAATAAAACAAAATAATATATAGACTAAAAGATTAGAAAAAAAAAACGATATGGGAAAATAGAGAAGTTAAAAAATTTAGCTAACAAAAGGAAAAAAAAATTAGAATAAAAATTTGAATTCAGATAAAATAAAGAAATTAATTAACTTCTTTAAATAGTGAGTAGAAATTAAGTAGAAAAAATAATTATGTTCTTACGTATTTCTTTAAATAGTGAGTAGAAATTAAGTAGAGAAAATAGTTATGTTCGTACGTATTCAGAAAAAAAATGTACACGGCTAATCACGTTGAATGCGGATGAAAATTTTTGCTAAAATACTTGCTAAATATAAAAAATCTAACGGGTCAGACGTCCGCGGGACGTCTATATACGACGTCTTGTGGACGTCAAATGTCCGTAAGATGTCCTTAAGACGTCTTGCGGACGTTTTGTGTCCGTTGGAAAGTCTAAAACAACCATATTTACGGTGTTATCGTATAGATGACATTTAGATTTTGGGGCTTAACAATTTAATTTTTCTTTAGGGCCCCAAATCAGTTGGAACAACAGCACAACAAAAGTCACCGGCCAACAAAACACTGGTAGTTTTTGAATTTTTCTAATTAAGTTGAAATTTCAACTTTCCCACTTACATTTTTGGAAAAGTTTTTGGGCGAAGAACGCTTGTTTTTGTTTACATCATTAGTAAATTTGTCTTCAATTAAAAAGAGAAAATTCACTAATGACGTCATCAAAATCAATTAAAAAGCCAGAAAAGTAAAATAAATCATTTTTTTAATTTTAATTTTTTTTGAAAGAGAGAGGAACTATTCATATATATATATATATATATATATATATATATATATATATATATATATATATATATATATATTATATATATATATATATATATATATATATATATATATATATATATATATATATATATATATATTCATATATTTGTCAGTAACTTAGTATGAAGAGGTAATTATGCATAATTAATATTAAGTATTTATTATAGTCTAATACTTGCAAAATGTAGAAGTGTTTTTATTTAACTACCTTTACTAAACTTTTATTTTTTCATTTTTATAAAAGGGAACGTGGAAGAAATGATTGTTACACACAAAAACTCTAATAATAAATTCACATTTACTTGGCACACTAAAATTTCTTCTAAGGCACTCAAAAATATTTTCTTATAACCATTCAGCATTTATTATTTTTTTCGATGATGAGAATAAATCACTAATAGGACATTTTTTTAAGGCAATAAATTAAAAAAAAGATATTTTCTTTTTTACCGTTCTCCCTTCTATTCATTTTTCTCTTAAAATTTGTGTTGTTACGGCTTTTAATATTATTTATCACGACTTTTAAAATTTGTGTTTTCACGACTTTTAAAATTTGTGTTGTCACGACTTTTAAAATGTGTGTTGTCACGACTTTTAAAATTTGTGTTCTCACGACATTTAAAATGTGTGTTGTCAAGACTTTTAAAATTTGTGTTGTCACAACTTTTTAAAATTGTGTTGTTACGACTTTTAAATAATGCGACTGTCGAATCAAATATTTTCTAAAGACTAAAAATTTTGTTGATTAAGTTGACTGAAAGACGAATTAGTCGAAATGTGAGAATAATATTTATCGAAATAAATTGTATTAAAAATGATAATGTATTTTTTACTCGCTTTTATTTATTAACATCATATAATATAAATATTAATGGAAGAAAATAATATGAGAGTAGGGGCAACTCCGGCTATGCGTCGCGACGGGTCAATTTATTCCTTAGATCTAATAAATTCGCAATCTGTCACGACGGATCAATTTATTCCTTAGACCCAATAAATATTTACCGTCTTAAATACTCGCTAAATATCAAAAAGACTTTTTAACTTAATCATAAACGATGTGATAGTATAGATGATATTTAGTTGGAACGGCCATGTAAAGTGTTTATAAAAATTAATAGGATGGAGTTTACAAAAAATTAATTAATTAATTAAATAATAACCGAATGTTTAATTAGGTATAAATAACGCTAACATGCTATGAGTTAGATAAAAGACAACAAAAAGTAAACATAAAAGTAGCTTGTAAAAGCTATAAAAGTACATGCTATTGTTATCAAATAAACAAACAAAAATTAAAAATTGAAAAAGTTAAAATAAAAAGATTTAAAGATTTTAAAATTCGACAAAATCGACTTTTAGTCTATTTTTAAAAGTCGGATAATTTCGACTAATCAACTTTTAGTCGATTTAGTCGAAATCGATAACAAAACTAATAAAAATACTCTTCACATTTTTTAAGTACATTTTATGAAAATTTCATCAAACATTTCCCTTCAAATTTTAAAAATTTTGTGCAAATTAGAGGCTCAATAGAATAACCAATACTATGCAGAGTATATTTGTTTAGACACAAAAATGCGCAAATTTGAAATCTCTTGAAACTATAGCTGAGTTTGATTCAATAATGAACATATAAGATGTATACATCAGATGAAATGGCGTATACATCAGATGAAAAAGTGGTAAATGTTTTAAGAAATGCATTTTATTAATCTATAATTCTGCGCATCAGGCGTTAGTCATAAAAAACATATGGCAATGATTGTTAGATTTGTGAATGAAGAAACTACTGACAAACTTTCAGATGTTTTTATAGAATGTTCACTTTGTTGGATTTGTAGAACTTTAAAAATCTACAGGTACACATATGGTAAAAGTTATACTTAAAAAATTATTATACTCAAGCATTTATTTAGATTGTATTAGGAAATAATAATAATAATTATTAATATTTTATTAATCACCCTCTGTAAAATATATTTACATGGTAAAAACACAAACTAAGAAAAAGAGATAAAAAAAAGTATTATTTATAAATGTTTTCTTCAAGTGTCTTTTTAAAAATTGTTCGCTGTTTTTTTACATTCCAACATTGAACCGCGTGTACCAAAATATGAAGAGTAGCTTCAGGAATTACATCCTCTAAGACTTCTAGTTTTACTTTTTTTAACCAGCATTAAGATTTTCATATTCAATTTATGATTATCACATAATTCTTTTATATCATCTAAAAAAGAAAATTTAGCTGAACAGTAG